ATTAATGCCTTTTCTTTTATCTTAATCTCCTCCTCCAAATCTTTACGTTTTTGCATTTGTTTTCGCCTATAAGAATTATTCATTTGAATCAAAACCCCCCGCATATAAGCTTTACTAGCATCCCACACCATTGCCATTGAAGTTCCCTGAAACATATTTAAAATAAAAAATTCCTTTAAATGTTCTCTAAGTTTCAATACATTCACCTCATGTCTAAATAAATTTTCATTCAACCTCCAAGATCTTCTTTCCTCCTTCTCAGGAATTAATTCCAACCATACAGGACTATGATCAGTAAGTGTCCTTGGAAAAATTTTTACATTTTTAACACTAAAATATAAATCCATAGTAATCAAAAAAAAGTCAATTCTTGAAAACGATTGGTGCCTATCAGAAAAAAAGTAAAGTCCCTCTCATCCATATTACATTCCCGCCAAATATCTCTCAATTCCAAATCTTCTTTCAATTCAAAAAAAGCCTTTGGTAGTTTAGCTTGCTTGAAGAAAGTAGAAGATCCTTTCTTGTCTTTGTATGTATCCAAAACTCCATTCCAATCTCCCATCAAAATCACAGATTTATAATCCAATGAAATCAATTTTTGATGTAAAAACTTATAAAACTGTTTTGTTGTTGATTAGGAGCATACAAGCCCACTATAAGCAATTTCTTTCCATATAAGACCACTTCAATCATAACATATCTTCCTTGAGAGTCTGAATCTATTAATTTAGCAGACAAATTTGTCTTAACATAAATGACAACACCCCCTTTCTTCCCTGGAGCAGAAGATACAAAATGAGAACCCAATTGGGCATTTATCAAATATTTTTGATCCTTTAAAATAATATGAGTTTCCTGCAAGCAAACAATATCATTATTATATTGCTTTAAATAATGAAATATTTTCTTTCTTTTCTGAGGAGAATTTAAGCCATTAACATTCCAGGTCAGGAGCTTTGCCATCTCCTCCAACTGCAAGCCTGGAGAAGACTGCTTGAAGATCTGACATCGAGGATCGAATCAACGAAGATCTCTTGGGTCTTGCTCCTCCCACAGGCTCAGAAACAAATTCTTGTGTAGACTCTTTTATATCCATCTTGTGTTGCTCTTTTTCTCTTTGTCTATGAGCTGCTCGAGTCATTCTCTGCTCTTTCATCTCAACCGACTGCTGCATCAACTCAGCCTGTAATTTTCCAGCTTTCATTGATATGGTGTCTCCAACCAATTGCTCTCCCTCTTTCACATCAAGAACTTTAGAGTGTAAAGGTGGTGGTGAACGAACTCCCAGGACAGAAATATAAAACTCTCTAGCCTTTGCAACTGTATTAAATCTATAACGTGTCCCCGCATGGCTCACCACAATTCCCATCTAAATGGCATCTGCCATTTTTAAGTTCCTCTGATAAAAAAGCAAAGTCCTTCCTTCTTCTTAAAATTTTTGATGGAATCTCCTTTAAGATTATCACATCCTGAGCAGCAATCTGAAATCTCTGATTGTAAAATGCTTGTATTACTTAAAGATCTTTTTCCAGAATAAACCACCACATCTCTTGGTAGGTTTCTCTGCTTTGCAATCCACGAATTAACTCTAAATATTTTCTCTATTTCCCTCAATATCTCCTCTGGTTCCCTCTCAAGTATCACAGCAATGTCATTTGCCACCACTTCCCTCAACTTTTCTTGCATATTTTCCCTCAAGCCTCTGATTCTTAAAGCGAACTCCATTTCTCTATACTGAGACATGAGAATTTCATCCTGTGAAGTCTCTACCGTTTTTTCGACATTTTCAACACGATCTTCTATTAAATCCACTTTATCAACAACATCCTCAATACGATTATCCAGCTTTTCAACAACAGAGGCGAGTCCTTGCAGAGCCATAACTATATCCTCCCTCATAACTCTATTTCTCTCTTCTAAAAGATCCTTCATTTCTTGTCTAATTTGACATACAACATTACCCATAACATCTTGAATATCTTTTACCATAAGTGATGGTACAGGCAGTGAGGGTGGTGGTGATCTAGCTTTAGGTTGTTGAACTGTAAGTATTGCCGGAGAGGAAGCCACTTTAGGCACAGCAGAGGTTGCTTGACACTTCCAAGCCATTTTAGGAAAAACTTTTCTCCAAAAAATCCAAAAGACCAAAAAGAAACAAAATGAAGAGGGAAAAAAAACCCCTCTTGTAATTATCTATATATTAAAAAAATAATATATTTACCCTTCTCATGCAGCCACTAAAAATCCCCAAAATTACTGCTTTGTAACAAAAAAAAATATAAAAATCCTTTAACACTTCTCTTTCATATGCATGAGAAAGAGAAACCTCTCATCGCCATTTTACTTTTCCCTTATAACAAAAACAAGAAAAAGACTATTCTTTCCAGGAGTTAAAGTTCAGATTAAACTTATAAATCCATTCCCCTGATCAGCTCTGTCCGCATTCAAAATTAGCTCACCAGTTCACATAAGTTGCGGAGGTGGAAGCTGCGTCTTGCTTCGTCCCAAAAGAAAAAGGGACAAAGGCGTCTGAGTCATGGAGAAATGCCTAGGACTCCGTGGGAGCTCACCTTCAATCCCGAAAAAAGATCTCGAGATCTTAGTGGTTCTACCACTATTCACAAGGCAAAAAAACTCACCTCTCTCCCTTTGCCCGGGAGAGAAGCTTCAAACCGCGGGACAGCTGATGTTCGCTTTCACCGCGGCTTTTACACAATCTCAGGCGGACGGCTACAAAGTAGCCGCCATCAGCACAGAACAACGCCACCGGAAGTCCAGTATTTGTTTTTTCTTGATATATAGTCTTTCTGCAGATCTCTGATTTTTCATGATAGCCAAAAATCAGGGTTTTCCTTTCTCTGCAAACAGCTTTAGAGTCACAGTTAGGTAATGTTTGTAATCCAGAAAGGTCAGTTTTTTTTAAAAGTTTATAGTTCTCATTTTATATGTAGCCCAGAGTGTTTTCTTTTTTTGTCACAGCTTGTTCTCTATTATTAGAACTTTGAAGGTCACAAAAAAAGACTTTTCTTGGGCCTTGCCAATTCCTGTATTAGAGCAACTGTTGTTGTAATTTTCATCCACCACTAGATGTCAGCACCAGTTCATTTTTCAGTTTTCAGAGTAAACAATTATCTTCTATTTTCATAATTTAAATTGAAAATCTTAACAGATTCCACCCATTTCAAACTTATCCAAATTTAAGTCTTGTATTCATTTCATTTCAAAATATTTCTATTCCCCATAAAATGTTTAATTTGCTGCTTTCATCTATAGGAGGGCAGAGCGAAGGTCACCCTCCTCACTTTCAGAGGGTTTTTTTTCCTTAAGGTTTTTTTTTCAGGAAATTAGTTAATAAGTAAAATAGAGAAAATTGATGTTCTTACTCAGGTCCAAATACGTTGTTTACAATCAGCTTACAATAGTGCTTTTGGGTTTTGGTTGCTTGCAGCTTGGGCTAGATTCTGAGGTTAGGCTAGCCTTTCTCCTGTTGGTTTCTGGAAGGCTTTTCCTAGACCAATCAGGTCAACCATCATCTCTCCTTGGTCCACGGGACTTTTTTCCTTCTTTGGCGCCTCTTCGGGCAATTTCTGGCCCATTTAGGGTCCCCTAACAGAAAGAAAATCAGCCATAGGGTACAGAGCCCCACGATCCCTCGGCTGTTGAACTACTGTGCAAAATAGGAAGCCATTAAGGAATCTAGTCTTATCTCCTTCTCAAGAAAGAAAAACTCAGTGGATTTTTAGTTTTTAGAAAAGGGGCTTTGTATGAATGCTGTTTCAGAGTTGGAACACATACATTTCTATGCACCATTAGCTTTGTCCACATACAAAGCGATTCAACATTGAAGAAAACAATGTATTAACCCTAATGTTTTCATATAGTAAATCCATTCTCCATTTAATGTGGGCATGTGCACTTTTATGTGTAATTGTACCAAAGTTGTTTTTGTTGAAGATACCAAAATAATAAAGGCCTAGCATTTATCTAATTAAGCTTTTCTTCTTCTACTACTAGGCATAACCAAGTAAAGAACCTTTTCTAGAGGCCTTGACTCATAATCTATCACAATTTTGAAATATCAACAAGATAGTTGTCTATTGAAGAAAAGAGATAATCTGAGTAGATATGCTCTTAAAGATTGTTTTTCATTTCAAATACATACTCACCCCCCCACACACACCCATTGACCAATCCTATTTCAATAAAAAGGACAAGTGTAGCCCTAAATATGTATGACACACAGGGTTATAAAGGCACCACATAATAGCAGATTTCAATTCACTCAATGACTTTTCAGTCACTGAAATGAAATGTAATCATTTGGACTGAGGAATGCATAAGAGGAAATCAGAATATAAAGCTAAGTAGGCAGAAAAAAATAATATGGGAAAGCTGGAAATATTTGACACTTTATATGTTAAACTGTTCCATATTCCCACATTACTTTGCTCTCACAATAAATTATGAGGAAAGAAACCTCCATTACTGTTTTATAGTTGGTGAATCTGATTTAAGAAGAGGATAAATTGAAACAACTGAAAATATTGTAAAAGGAATGCCTGTTTCAATATATACTTGAAACATATTTAACTTATTATATAAATATCTGATATAAATATCATTTGGAAGTACAACATTTCCTTTCCTTCCTGCACCTTAGAATGGATCATAGTATCTGTTGAGGTATTTAGTTCTTGTTGAATTTCCTTCGTTGTTCTTTTCTACTGTGACCATCTGAAATGGGACAAGTGAAAAATCAGACAAACACAAACATTGTGATGTTTTACCAGAAAGGCTTTCATAGGTGCTGAAAAATACTGAACTAGGGCAAAAATGGTTAAGATATTGTCTATCTTCCCTCAGTGTATATTATGACAGCAATACAGTAGAGATTGATCAAGGAACGTATATTCTTTCACAAGTGCCTGATTGAAAAAGCTTGAAGCAAGCACACTTTGAAAAGTTAATTACTGTAAATGTCTTTTTGCTTGATTCTGAAGAATCCCCTCCCCGGATGAGGATAGATCTTCAAAATTAGAGAGTATCATTTCTATGGCGGAAGAAGGAGGGGACACATCCACAGAAGGAGCAACGAACAGGTAAGCTTCATTTATACTATATCTGGATACTGGCCTTGTTTGGAAGCAAATGAATGAAATAAAGGTATATAAGAGTATTGTTAAAGCAATGAATTTCGTCTGCATGAAGCCATTAATGAAAGGGATGAACTGAAGAATAAGTTAATCTTGATTTATATTAAGTCAGTCTGGACCAGTGTTTTTCACCTTTGGGAACTTTAATATGTGTGTTGACTAGGGAATTCTGGAAGATTAAGGCCATGCATCCTACAGTTCCCAAGGCTGAGAAACACTGGTCTAGTGTGTAAGTATGATGGATGATGAGTTGCAGCAGGGAAGTGTGTTATCTGGCTCAACTGAAGAACATAGAGTGATAGAGTAATTTATGTATTACTGGGAGAATTTTCTTTAGCTTTTCATCAGAGCTGGAAGATCATATGTGACATTAAGGATGATCAAACTCCCATTAACCAAACTTTCTAGGAGGTGATGAGTCATGATCATGAGAATGATCAAAATTTAATGAATCTTGTCTCATTGCTGAATAAAGTGTGGTTGGGTGAAGCTTCACTAACGTCCGAAAGAGCACAATATTTTCAACACTTTGTGTATTGTGGTGAAAGTACTGTATACCTGGGTACAGATTTGCTGCTTTTAAAATACAATAGTGATAACATTTCTTTGGAAAATTACAGAAACAGTAACCTCTTATCAGGTTTTATCAGTTTTCTTTACACCAAACATTATTTGGACAAAAGTGAAATGTTCAGCTTGGAGAAGAATTCCTTCTAAGACATTTAAGCTCACTGGAAGTTTTTTATTGTTGTTTTTGAAAGAAATGATTGTTACCAAATGATGCAAGCATATTGGAAGAACTGATTTGTCTCTGCATTAAGAAAGATCAGAGATCACAGAAGCTTTTTTATTGTCCTGTCTGAAATGTGCAAAGTTTCTGCCTATTAGTACATGCACATTCAATGCATGAAATGAATATATCAAGTAGAAATCTTTCTACATGCATCACCAGCCCAGTTTACGGATTTGTTCCAACTTCCACCATTCACCTCTGCTCTTGGCTGGGGTGATTGCCCCTTGACACATTTGGAGGTCACCAGGCTGGGAAAGCCAATCTAACTGTTAATGCTAGATAGCAGTTGTTAAATTGCAAATGGACAAGATGAAGTTGTTAATCTTGGCCCTTTGCATTGCTGTTTCTGTTTTTCTTTTAGGTCCTCAGGGTTTTTCTCATTGGTGAGAACCTGGTTCAGAAAGCATTTACGTCAAGATGGCCAGAGATCTGATTCTTCAGTTGAGGCTCAAGGGGGAGAAAACAAAGATGACAAAGCTAAGCCAAAGAAGGATGGGAAAGATGAACAGAAAAAGTAAGAGGATGCTGCTTGAGTGGAAATATTTACATTTTTCAGGGGGCTAATCTGCAGAAAAAAGAATAGACTTGTTTCTAGAAGAGTCAAATTTAGTGAAGATATTCAATGTATAAACCATTTCTTTACATGGCATATTCACACATAGAATTGAATACTAGCTGTTGACTTATTGTGTTAGAATAGCAGCAATATTCTATTGTCCTAAATCAGACTAGTAACCACTCCCTGTTCTCTTGGTTTTTATGCTAAATGCTGAAAAAGAAACAAACAAATTTTCATAATTGATGATCTGTTCAGAAAATTACTGCTTGATTAACCACAGAAATCAGCTTTCTTAAGTTAATTTATGACTAATGGGGATAGTCTGGATGAAAGTCTCTACTTTAAGTTGTTCAAGTTCCCATTTCATGTTATCATTCACATTTTCCATGGACCCATTCTTTTGGAATATATACTGTGTGTGTGTGTGTGTGTGTGTGTGTGTGTATGTGTATATATATATATATATGTTGTTGTTGTTAATTGCGAAGTCGTGTCCGACCCATCGCGACCCCATGGACAACATTCCTCCAGGTCTTCCTGTCCTCTACCATCTTCTGGAGTCCATTTAAGTTCACACCTACTGCTTCAGTGACTCCATCCAGCCATCTCATTCTCTGTCGTCCCCTTCTTCTATTGCCCTCAATCTTTCCCAGCATTAGGCCCTTCTCCAGTGAGTCCTTCCTTCTCATTAGGTGGCCAAAGTATTTGAGTTTCAACTTCAGGATCTGGCCTTCTAAAGAGCAGTCGGGGTTGATCTCTTCTAGGACTGACCGGTTTGAACGCCTTGCAGTCCAAGGGACTCGCAGGAGTCTTCTCCAGCACCATAGTTCAAAGGCCTCAATTCTCTGGCGCTCAGCCTTTCTTATGGTCCAACTTTCACAGCCATACATTGCAACTGGGAAAACCATGGCCTGGACTATACGCACTTTTGTTGGCAGAGAGATGTCTCTGCTTTTTAGTATGCTGTCTAGATTTGCCATAGCTTTCCTCCCCAGGAGCAAGCGTCTTTTAATTTCTTGGCTGCAGTCCCCATCTGAGGTGATCTTGGAGCCCAGAAAAATAAAATCTGTCACTACCTCCATTTCTTCCCCATCTATTTGCCAGGAATTGAGAGGGCCGGATGCCATGATTTTGGTTTTCTTAATGTTGAGTTTCAAGCCAACTTTTGCACTCTCCTTCTTCACCCGCATCAAGAGGCTCTTTAGTTCCTCTTCACTTTCTGCCATTAGAGTGGTATCATCTGCATATCTTAGGTTGTTGATATTTCTCCCGGCAATCTTAATTCCAACTTTTGATTCATCTAGCCCTGCCTTTCTCATGATGTGCTCTGCATATAAGTTAAATAGGCAGGGCGACAGTATACAGCCTTGCCGGACTCCTTTTCCAATTTTGAACCAATCAGTGGTTCCGTGTCCAGTTCTCACTGTTGCTTCTTGACCCGCGTATAGGTTTCTCAAGAGACAAATAGATGGTCTGGTATTCCCATCTCTTTAAGAACTTGCCACAATTTGTTGTGATCCACACAATCAAAGGCTTTAGCATAGTCAATGAAGCAGAAGTAGATGTTTTTCTGGAACTCCCTAGCTTTCTCCATGATCCAGCGTATGTTGGCAATTTGATCTCTAGTTCTCTGCCTCTTCGAAATCCTGCCTGTACTTCTGGTAGTTCTCGATCCACATACTGCTGGAGTCTAGCTTGCTGGCAAATTGAGTGTAGCACTTTTACTGCATCATCTTTTAAGATTTTGAATAGCTCAGCTGGAATACTGTCACCTCCACTAGCTTTGTTGTTGCTCAGATTTTCTAAGGCCCATTTCACTTCACATTCTAGGATGTCTGGTTCGAGGTCAGTGACCATCTCATTGTGGTTATCTGGGATGTTAAGCTCATTCTTGTATAGTTCTTCTGTGTAGTTTTGCCATCTCTTCTTAATCTCTTCTGCCTCTGTTAGGTCTCTGCCATTTTGGTCCTTTATCATGCCCATCTTTGCATGAAACGTTCCCTTCATATCTCCAATTTTCTTGAAGAGATCTCTGGTCCTCCCTATTCTGTTGTTTTCTTCTATTTCTTTGCACTGTTCATTTAAGAAGGCATTCTTATCTCTTCTAGCTATTCTCTGGAATTCTGCATTCAATTGGGTGTATCTTTCTCTTTCTCCTTTGCCTTTCGCTTCCCTTCTTTCCTCAGCTATTTGCAAAGCTTCCTCAGACAGCCATTTTGCTTTTTTGCATTTCTTTTTCTTTGGGATGGTTTTAGTTGCTACCTCTTGTACAATGTTGCGAACTTCCATCCATAGTTCTTCAGGCACTCTGTCTATCAGATCCAGTTCCTTAAATCTATTTGTCACCTCTACTGTATATTCATCAGGAATATGATTTAGTTCATACCTGAGTGGCCTAGTGCTTTTCCCTACTTTTTTCAATTTAAGCCTAAATTTTGCAACGAGAAGCTCATGATCTGAGCCACAGTCAGCTCCTGGTCTTGTTTTTACTGACTGTATAGAGCTTCTCCATCTTTGGCTGCAGAGCACATAGTCAATCTGATTTCTATGTTGACCGTCTGGTGATGTCCATGTGTAGAGGCGTCTCTTGGATTGTTGGAAAAGAGTGTTTGTTATGACCATCGTATTCTCTTGACAAAATTCTATCAGCCTGTGCCCTGCTTCATTTTGTACTCCAAGGCCAAACTTGCCTGTTATTCCGGTTATCTTTTGGCTTGCTACCTTAGCATTCCAATCCCCCATGATGATAAGGACATCATTTTTTGGTGTTAATTTTATAAGGTGCTGTAGGGCTTCATAGAACCGGTCAATTTCATCCTCTTCAGCACTAGTGGTTGGGGCATAGATTTGGACTATTGTGATATTGAATGGTTTGCCTTGGATTCGAATTGAGACCATTCTGTCATTTTGGGGATTGTATCCTAGTATTGCTTTTCCTATTCTTTTATTGACTATAAAGGCTACTCCATTTCTTCTGAGGGATTCTTGCCCACAGTAGTATACCTGATGGTCATCTGAGTTAAATTCAACCATTCCTGTCCATTTTAGTTTGCTGATTCCTAAGATGTCGATGTTCAGTCTTGTTATCTCTTTTTTGACTACGTCTAGCTTGCCTTGGTTCATGGATCTTACATTCCAGGTTCCTATGGAGAAAAAATCTTTACAGCATCGGACTTTCCTTTCACCACCAGATATATCCACAGCTGAGCGTCCTTTCGGCTTTGGCCCAGTCGCTTCATTCTTTCTGGCGCTACTAGTACTAGCCCTCTGCTCTTCCCCAGTAGCATATTGGACACCTTCCGACCTGAGGGGCTCATCTTCCAGCATCATATCTTTTTGCCTTTTAGTACTGTCCATGGGGTTTTCGTGGCAAAGATACTGGAGTGGTTTGCCATTTCCTTCTCCAGTGGATCACATTTTGTCAGAACTCTCTGCTATGACCTGTCCGTCTTGGGTATATATTTGTTTTGTATACATATTTTGTATATATATTTGTATATATATTTGTTTTCTGAGGTTTTCGTGGGTATTTGTATGTAGGTCTTTGGTTGTTCGGGTTTTCTCCTGCGTAAAATTGGAAGTGTCTTGGCGACGTTTTGACGAAGTCCCATTCGTCATCTTCAGGCTGGTGTTTTCAGCTTTGTGCTTTGACACAAAGCTGAAAACACCAGCCTTAAAATTGACGAATGGGACTTCGTCGAAACGTCGCCAAGACACTTCCAATTTTACGCGGGAGAAAACCCGAACAACCAAAGACCTACATATATATATATATATATATATATATATATATAATATTATATGTGTGTGTGTGTGTGTGTGTGTTGTGTGTGTGTGTGTGTATGTATATGTATATGTATTTGTGTATATATATATATATATGTGTTGTGTGTGTGTGTGTGTGTATGTGTGTATATATATAATATATAGATATATATATATATATATATATATATATATATATATATATATACATACACACACACAGTATATATTCCAAAAGATATTCCAAACACCCCTTCCAAATATAATGGGTGTTTGAGTATGTAATGTTTTCTTTTTCCCCTGGAGTTAAATATTTTTATGAGTATTAGATATTATGAGAGACATATTTTTTGAGAAGAATTGTATGCTTCTCATCTCCCATGGCTTTGCAGCAGGAATGAATATTTCTGCTGGCTGTCCAGCAGATTTGACAATTCAACTGGACAATGAGGCTTCTTGAGTGTCCCAGCCAAATGCTTTCTATAAATAGCCAGATCTTCAACACAAAAGTGTTTGGCAACATGTGACTAAGGTGATGTCCTGGATAATTCTGTAATGGGGCTTATCCTTGTTATTAGAGTTGTCTTTATTTTTTCAACATTATGGGAAGACTAACAATTGAATCAGTGAGGGAAGCTAGAATGTGTGTCTGAAACAGAGAGAAAGAGAGACAGACAGACAGACAAAAAGAAGATACAGAGATAGATACACATACACACATACAGTGGCCAGGAGAGTTTATTATTTTTGCTCATTTTTTCATGTGTATGTGTATTCACTGATATGTTCATTCATTTGGCCAGATTTAGTATCAACTGCTTCAACACCATTAGAGAGCAGATACAACATGGACAATTTTGTCTAGTCTTTCCTAGTTTTCACGATTATAGGGCAGTTCCTTTGTTCATTGCTTTTGAAAACCTGATTCAGCTAAAATTCTTGGAATGGACAACTGGCCCTTGTAGTAACAACCTAGCCTTTTCCTTGTTAGAGGTTGATAATAATACAAATTTGAAAGTTGTCACAGATTTGATAAAAAAATCCTTGTCTTCATGAATGCTTGTTTTAACACATGGGCTTCCTATACTAAGTAGATTTTGTGAAGCTTTGCCCAGATGTCTGTTGATGTTTAAATATAATGAATATTATCATATATAATGCATTCTCTTTAAAATTGTTTGCTCCTACTCTCTCTCCTCTCACATTATTCATTTCATTTCTATATAATTTGTGCTGTCATTTTTCCTCCAAAGCATAAAACAACAATAAAAGCATGCCACCTTCATACTGCTGGGCAATATTTTTTGAGGGGGGCCTGCAGAACATATTCAATCTTGTGGTTAGCTTAGGGCCACCTATACAAAAATGGGTGTGGTCAGGAAAAAATACAGTGGCATATTAAGAGGGGGGTGCAGCAGGTTAGAATAAGCTTCCTAGGGGACTTTCAGACCTGTGGGCTTGTGGTTGACACAGACCATATATTTCTGATCTTGAATAACCATGTAAAGTATAAGATGGGTGATATCAGAATCTGAAACTCAGGCAGATAAAGAGCAGAAGAGATATCTGGAATAACTGGAAAAAAGATAATGGAGTCTGAGCAAGTGTAGTTGTGAATTCTTGTTTGATCCTATACTGTGGCAATTAAAGTAGTAAATTGTTATAATGTTCCTCTCTGACTGCATTTGGGAGGGGGGTTGCCAGCTAGTGACCTTGTTTAGGGTGGCCAATTTCTTTTTTCTTGCCTGGCCTCTGTGATCAGTTGGTGCATGACTTTGTGGATCGGACTGTTCAAGTTCTTGGCTGGGATGTGGTGACTGGGGAAATGCTTTGTCATGTTATCCTGGACCACCTGAGCCTGAATTCTCTAAAGAGGATAAGATGTTCTCTGAAATACTGTCAGCCACTTATGGCCTGGATCCATGCTTCTCCTGGCTCCTTTGTGGGGCAAGGGTGCATGTGAAGGTAAGCTAGTCTGAGAGATAATTAGAGCCTCATAGGGTAATAGTACTGGCTGCCTTGAAAGAAGCTGTAACACTCTGCTTGTTTAACAGGCCTTTCCTGAATCCAGCTGTTCTTGTTAATTAACATTCTAACTCTAAGTTACTCTTGTGTGGGAATATTATTGAAATTTCAATCAGTGGATAACTCAGAACCACCAAAGATGAAGTGGGTTATCAGGTGCTTTTCAGTCAGCTTTTGGCCCTGGGCATGGGATAAAGTCAGCACTGGTTATTCTTAAAATAACTGTATTAGATTAAACCCCTCTGGTTTCAGTTGTATATTAATCTTTAACATCTTCTGAATTAATGCACTCATATGAATCCAAAACATTTTGGCCTGTTTACATGTCCACCAAGCACAGTAAAAAGTCCTCTCTTCCTTTATACATTTTAGACATTTTTTTCTGGTGACAAACACCAAAAGTATATCATTTTATAAAAATTCTCTAAGATTATAACAATGAAAAATTTCAAACCTTTCACCCACATCTTTTACGATTTAATTTTTAATAGAAGTTTATAAATTTTATCACTGTTACTCACTTGTACATAATTCTGCTTTAGATTCTGTCTTACAATGTTCAGAATCAAAATTCTTTTTATCTATTTTAAATCTTTCCAGTAATTTTACATAATAAAAGTGTGTGTGTGTGTGTGTGTGTGTGTGTGTGTGTGTGTGATTATCATTTGTCTTGTTGGAACTTGGCTGGAGATAGCCTGAACCATTGTTGTTGGCTTTTGATACCACTGATCATAATACATTTTTGAACCTCTGGTGAAGGTTGGACAATGGAGGTATTCTTTTGAAATGATGGCAGTCCTTCCTAAAGGAGTGGGGTTCCAGTAAGTAGGGCCATGTAGAATGAATAGGCAAGCAGTTGACTGCAGGGTTCAATATCTTCCCTCTTGCCTTTTAATAACTGCATGAAATGGCAGGGACAAGTCATCATTCATTGATTTGGGGTGGGCAGTGTCATTTATGGTGATGATACTCAGTTGTTCATCATCATAACACGCTGAGTAGGAGGTCAACATCTTGTCCTGGTTTGTAAACGCTGTTAAGATTTAAATAAGACAAAAAGGCAGACATTGACTGCCAACATGACAAAGTTGCAATTTGTCCACTGAGGTTTTTTTGTTGACTGTCAAAAAGCAGGTCTAAGACTTGGAAGTCTTTCTATTTCATGGCCAGGTAGAGACTGGTGGTATACATATTAGATAGGATCCTCCCTGGGGCAAAGGACTCTTAAAGCAGTAACTCACCTTTGCTTTTGGGCCTGCAATGGCTTCATTTTAGCTTTCAGGTGCAATTCAAAGTGCTGGTCATTACAGGTAATCATTTAGTGACCGTTCAAAGTTACATCATGGAAAAAGTGTTATTTTTCACTCTTATGACCATTGCAGGTCATAAGAGTGAAAAATAACACTTTTTCCGTGATGTTCCCATAGTCACATGATCAAAATTCAGATGCTTGGGAACTGATTCATATGTATGACAGTTGCAGTATCCTGAGGTCATGTGATAATCTTTTGCAGCCTTCTGACAAGCAAGTCAGTGGGGAAGCCAGATTCACTTAACAACCATGTTACTAATTTAACAACTGCAGTGATTCATCTAATGCAGGGGTTTCAAACTGCCGGCTTGTGGGCTGGATGTGTCATGTGGAAGCTGCACCCACCCCATTGCCGGCAATGGCAAAACAGTGCCAATACGTTGTGTGATGTTATGTGATGTCACAAGTTTGAGATGTCTGACTTAACGGTGCTGACAAGAAAGATCATAAAATGGACCAAAACTCTCTTAATAACTGTCTCACTTAGCAACAGAAATCTGGAGCTCAGTTGTGGCTGTATGCCGAGGACTGCCTAGAAAGCCTTACCAGGCTTGTCACTGAAACACTTGCAGGACTCCCTCCTCCCATGGGAACTGACCTACCTGAATTTGGTATCCTGAGAGAAACTGCTACTGATCCTCCTTTCTTTGATACTGGTACTGCTGAGATCTGCAACTGCTCTGCTTTTTGGTGACACTGCCTGGGCTACCATGGAATCACACACACACACACCCCAGTCAAAATCAGACTGGTGCAGATGGTTTTATCTTCCTGAAAATTGTTGAAGGCTTATTATGAGTCATAGGACTCTCAAGATTATTTAATTTATTTTATGCTTATAGTTTTATCTTTTTATGCTTTTTTTAGTTTTCATCTACCTCTTATTGGGGATGATCTGATTTTCATTGCTTCATCCTTTGCTTGCTCTTAATTACTATGAGCTGTCAAGAGTCTGAGAGATTGCAGTGGGTGAAAATATGATTGATAAGTGAATGAATGAGTGAGTGAGTGAATGAATGAATGAATGAATGGTGCTCAAGTGGAAAGAGCATCAAAAAAGGATTTATTTATTAAAGTTTGCTTCTTGTGTGTGTAAAGCCTTTTACAAGGAACATGACAGAATAGTAAATAGTAAATTAATTGAGAAGTCTCTTCTCAAATCAGAGTGATTCTGGTCATCAGACCATTGGTACTTGCCCTAATCATTGCTTTTTACATGGGATGGCAAAATCATGGAAACAGGGTATTTGAGTAGATCATGGGGCTAGACAGGACAGGAGACCAACCAAGTTAGATGGATGGATGGGTGAGGACTCAGTCAATTGGAATTCAAGGCTGTTACACATATTATTGAAGTACTTGTTCTAGTGATTGAAAAGATAAATTTGCCACTTTCAATTTAAGAATGTTTATTGATTGAATGCCCAATACCAGCCATAAAGCATTTCTTTCCTAGCTGCAGACATCTGGTGCTTTTGGTCCTTAAAAGCAAACATTATCAAACATAAAATATTTGAGGGGTCCTTGGCACTCTCCTACTTTGGTTGTTTTCTTGTTGCTGTTTCATTATCCAAACTAACGTCATCAACGCTAGTGATGATGACGTTACCTAGTTTGAGTAATGAAATATCTTACAAGAAAACAACCAAAGTCAGAGAGCATCAAGGACCTCTCTTTTCAACCCTGAGCTACACATATTCTTCTTTATTGGTACATAAAATATTTCTTTGATTAGAGTTCTTCATGAGCCCCTAAACCTCTTTTTTTCATTTCCAGGGAAAAGAAAGAAATCTTTGTAGTAGATCCTTCAAGCAACCTGTATTATAGGTGGTTGGGAATCATTGCAGCACCAGTATTCTATAACTGGTGTCTATTGGTATGTAGGTAAGGATGATTCTTAATGCATCCCTGTTTGGTTACTAGTATTTTTGTCACTGGCATCTGAGGGTGGGGGTAGGGGTGATTAAAAAAAGTCAAGATTGTGGCTAGCAATCAAAGCTCTACAGTTATTTACATGTGTTACATATATGATTCACATGAAAAGAGAAGGAGCTTCAATTGTACAATTGCCACCAGCATCCTGATTCTCCACCCCTCTGCAATTGCTTCTGGTTCTGAAATTTAATCTGTCTGTCTTTCACAAAATGTTTATTTGCATCAGCTCCTTTTTCAACAATGGTGTAAGTAAACAATACTACAGCAGCTTAAAAAGTAAAATTGTGTATGCTTTAAAAATAGTTTGAAAGAGATACTGTGGACCTTCTGAGGCCATAACATTTCTCACTAAAACCTGCATGATGTAAACTGAAACAAGAGGTTGTGACTGAGTTGCACTAAAGATAGGCTACTTTAATGATTATTTAATAGTTCAGTAATCAGCTAAAGACAGTCTTTGATTCACACAAAGAGCTCTGTGATTTGTTTTCACCGTGCTAGCTGAATAAACCCTAATTGACTCAATTCTCACAAACTAAGCAAGAAACTAAGAACTGCAAAAACCCAACAGTCAGATTCATACAGCATACTTAGCAAACCAACCAAATAATATATGAATCTCTGTCTAGCTAACTATTCATTCTGAGCACAACAAGATAATGGTTTGGATTCCTTGTTAAATTATACGCATGTATCAAACTCTTGATCCATACACATGTGAATCAGAAAATACCATGTTTTTTTTTCCAAAATTTTATTTATAATACAATTAAAAAACATTGGATATAACGTGACATTCCAGTATATACATTCTTATCAAATCATTCCACATTTTACAATCGATTCTTCATTTCTAGATATACATCTAAGTTTTATATACAGTACTTATTCTAAAATAACATATATTTCTATCTTAACACTAGTCTTTAATCCCAACCGTCCTCCTCGAATTCCTCCAGCGGTAAAATTTATTCCAGGTTTCGAAATAAACTGATCCACATTTGTCTTTCAATACCATTGTGAGCCTGTCCATTTCCGCACATGCTAATATCTTATATAGTAACTTTTCCTCTGTGGGGATTTCTTTGCTCTTCCATTTTTGCACAAATGCAAGCCTAGCTGCAGTCAAGATGTGTAGCAGCAAGTAGATTGTTCCCTTATTGTATTTCTCTGTAGTTATCCCCAACAAGAAGAGTTCAGGTTTTAACTCTAAGTCCAATATTAATATATCTTTCAACCAGCTTTGTGTCCTGTTCCAATACTCATGAGTCTTTGGGCATTCCCACCACGTATGGTAATATGATCCTATTGCTGATTTACATTTCCAGCATAGGGGTGAGATATTTGAACCCATTTTGGCTAACCTTACGGGTGGGAAGTGCCATCTATAGAACATCTTGTAAAGATTTTCCTTATACGAGGTAGCTAGAGTGAGTTTCCTATTTCTTTCCCACAGTTCTTGCTAAATATGCAGGTTGATACTGAAACCAAAATCCCTACTCCAAATTAACATAGTCTCCTTGACCTGTTCTTCATACATTGCCTGATCTAAAAGAAAGTGATATTTTTTAAAATCATTTTATCCTTGGGATCTAATCAAATTTTATCTAATTCTGTCAGTTCTATTTTTATACCCCACTCTTTTTTGTCTTTCCTATATCTTGCTTGTAGTTGGAGGTATGCCCACCATTCTAATTCTATCCCTGCATGTTGGAGATTTTTCCTCGATTTTAATTCTCCTCTCTCATCTTTATAGGTTATTACTTTCCCCAACTGAATGAACCTTGGGTGTATATACATTTCTAGTGTTGAAATCCAGTTGGGAACTTGCCTATAGTTCTGTCGCCAGATTTTGGTCCATACATCTATTAGCGCCCGTCTGATGTAGTGCCTCCAGAAGTACTGGTGTACTTTATGTTTCTCATCCCATAACATCACATGCCATCCAGTCTGCATGTCATGACCTTCCAATTTTAATAATCTCTGATTTTCCAGTCAAATCCAATCTTGCACCCAAAGTAGAATTGTAGATTGATAGTATTTTTCCAGGTCGGGGAGGCCAAGACCCCCCCTTTCCTTAGCATCCTGTAATAATTTTAATTTAATCCTTGATTTTTTCCCTTGCCAAATGAATTTAAGTATGGTTTGGTTGAAATTTCAAAAGAATTCCTTCAGAAAATACCATGTTTGTAGCAGTCTGTAGGCGCCACCTGGTGGACTTATTTGTCAACTAGGAATGGCTACATTCCTTATGGGCTAACTCTGCATTGGTCTTTTCATTCAGTAACAGGATTGCAGTGTTCATTCACTGCTCAGAGTCACTGTGATGAGGGGCAGCCATACAAAAACAAACAAACAAACAGACAAATAAATAAATAAATGCCACCCAGAGTCATTTGGAAGTAAATCAGCAAATACATTCATAAATAAAAACAGAAATAGCAGCTTGCTTTTTTAAAAAAGTGGCTATCTTGTTGGCAATGTCAAACCTATGCAAACTGATGTCTATGGAGATTCTCGGTCATCCAAGTCATGGTTGTCCCAAAGGTGCTTTTTCTTTTTCTTTTTTAAATATTAAGCAATTTTATTTATTAAAAAAAATAAAATTAGGATATAATTTCTAGGAATAAATAAAGTATTTGCACGGATCATCTATATAGCAGGAAAAGGATGACTGATTATTCAAAAGTATTATTTTACTTACATATAATTATATGCATATTGAATCATTTAACTAATTATATAATTGTGAAAAGAGATACAATAGCAATGACTTAACTTGGCAGAACTAATGTCATATCTGTACTGGATATGAGTTTGTGTTTGAAGTATGACACCTCATGAACAAACTTAGCTTAGTTTGTTTCCCTGTTCTTATAATTAGTTCTATTATGCTGCTAAAGCAATGATACAAAGGTGCTTTTTCAAAGGGCAACTGGACTTTGTTGTTGCTTGAAGATGTTTCACTTTTCATCCAAGAAACTTCTTCAGTTCTGAAGCTTCTTGGATGAGGAGTGAAAATGTCTTCAAGCAAAAACAAAGAAAAAGCACCTTTGGGGTTTGCAAACTGATATTTTCAATAAAAAATATTAACAAAGACATTGTCAGATGAAGGCATGGAAGCCAATGATTTTGTAGTTACAGGACTTGGTGCTTACTTAGTTTTCAGTCCTGCTAGGCTTTATTGTTTTTTAAAAGAGTGTTTTATTTATAAATACTGTAAGTAAATAAGAGGTTGATCTGCTGCAAAATCAGCTACTGGCTTGGAGGCATGTTATTAAGAACCATTAATTGTGGGGAGATGCATTCCAGTAAATTGTTTGGAAGTGTGCACCAGCAAAGAAAATAGAGAATGATAGGGAATATTTCAGCAGCTAAATGGATAGACAAGGAACTATCACACCAGTTGTTCTTTGGTAAACAAACGTTTTGTATTTGGCTATATCCATCACAAAAGTTATTTTCTAATTAGGCAAATCATGTTGTGAAAATGCCCAATCACATCATGTTCTAAAAATTCTAGATGTTCTCCAATTCTCCAAATTTGCCTAGTACTTGTAAGAAATATGTGACTATTGTATCGTATTTCTTTGTTACAATTCTAACTCTAACCAGATCATCTGATTTATCTAGGGCCTGCTTTGATGAGCTTCAGATGAATCATCTTGCACTTTGGCTGTTCTTGGATTATTCTTCTGATATTATCTACCTCATGGACACATTTGTCAAATTCAGGACAGGTGAGCAATTGTCTACCAGGGACTACACTCATCAATTAATTTCTTAAGAACATTGACCACATGGAGTGAAACCAGGTTTATTAGAAATCCTCCTCTCATTTAGCTTGACCTGAGAGCCTCTCACCTCCAAAATTCCAATATTGTATACTAGGATTATACAGGAGGAAAAGCCTTCATAAAATGGTAGATATTGAAGAAATGGTTCCTACAAAGCATTGCTTATGAGTAATTTTCTTTTCCTTACTTCCCCCCCCCCCTTGCAAATGTAGCCTTTTGTCCAGGTTGAATCCCAATAGGGGCAGAGGATAAAACCTCTGTTGTAGGGAGATAGACCAAGTAGTTGAATATATTGTGTACAGTAGATTGAAAGGCTGCTTCAATGATTAACACTTTAAGAGGAAGAGGATGGTATATTTTAAGGCAATCAAAGCTGAGAAACATTTGTGAACTTGCTTCTGAGAAAGAAATGACTCTGAAGTCTCTCTTACAATCCATATTGGGTGGCACAGCATAAAGCTTTGGTTTTCAGGCAGATCAGAAAGAGGGGAAATTAATTTTCTCCATCCTCACGAACTCCTGAAGGCATTATCAATCCTTTGTCCTCAAGAATCAGGAATTAAAGCACAGACTAGCCCTTCTTTCTCTGATCCACTCTCACTTCTTATCTATTATTAATCCCTTCTCTATTCTCCCACCTCATCTCTCTACTGAGGCTAGCTTTTCAATCCTCCGTCCTTTTCTCTCCTTTTCCCACTCAGTTTCTGCTTCCCCATTTCTCCCCATTTACATCAGTACCCCTCCCCCTGCATCCCTTGGTGTAGCCAAAGTAAAGGGTCTCCTAGGGAGCATATATGGGACTTGCCTGGCTGTCCATGCAACATGATGTCAAAATAATCAAGATGGCGATTGCAAGTCAAAGTCCCACATTTGTTCCATGCACAAGTAGTAGAGTTCAATAGTGACATTTTCACTTTTTGATACGACTCTCTCTTTCCCCAAAGACATTTTCCCTTTCTCTAAAATCTGTTTGAAAATATGGTGTCCCATTTCTAGCTCTTTGGTTACTTGCAGTGCTGGTAAAATGCTATTTCCCCAATCACTTTAACTCTTGCCTTCATTGTTTTTGCATAAATTTTCTGCATTCATTTTTAAAATTTTCTTTGCTTTCCTTGCTCTTTAATAAAATCTAACCCAGTTCTTTGAGGAGAGCATGGGCACTATTTTTGAGATTTAAGCTCTTTGGGATGCATAATTTTTAAATATTATTTAGTTCAGAAATCTTGCTTACATACTAAACCATCCCTACATAACACATCACAGCATCCCTATGATTGTGTTCCCTAATTTGCCCCCTCTCTATTTTATGGAATGGGCATTCAAAGGGCAAAATGGGTAATTTTAAGTGTTGTATAAATTTAAGGCTTTTCACCCCTTAAAACTCTTGAACTCTATTCTTCACAAAGTTTCTAGTTCCAATTGAAAGAGCAGTCTTGACACACCAAATAATTGCCTGGAGCCACCCTCCAGATAATAAAATTTGTGTATTTTGGGGTTAGAGCAAACAAACCCATTATTAGGAAAGTATTTTTAAAAGGGGAGAAATTTTAGATTGATTGGAAGATTGCTGTCTGTTCCTCCCAATAGACAAAATTTTCTTGGCAAGTTATAAAATAAAGATTAAATTAATAATGTACTAAAAAGGGGAAAATAGAAGCTTTTACATGAATTGAAACAGTTCAACATAATGGTACAGCTGATAGCAAAAGCCAACAATAATGCATGTCCTAAACAGGGCTAATGTATGTTTTAATTTGAAACAAAAAAAAAGTTTGCTTTCTTTGATGACGTCCTTGGGAAAGCAAAGCCCTTTCTGCTCTTCTCAGTGTGTAAGTGAGTAAAAGAGGGTACCTAAGAGGAGATGAAATGATAGGTCACTGCAACATATTTTGCACTTGCAAGTCAGTATGGGAAGCTTTATGGTTTAGGCATTTCTACTTAAGACATTTCTTCCTTTTTTCTTTATTATACTTTAAGGTTTCCTTGAACAAGGACTACTAGTTAAAGATGAAAAGAAATTGAAAGAATATTATAAATCAACTTTGCAGTTCAAGTTGGACCTGTTGTCCCTTTTTCCAACTGATCTAGGATTTTTACACTTTGGAATGAACTATCCTGAGTTGCGATTTAACCGGTTACTGAGACTTCCCCGCCTATTTGAATTTTTTGATCGTACAGAAACAAGAACAAACTATCCAAATGTATTTCGTATAGGGAACCTTGTCTTGTACATTCTCATCATTATTCACTGGAATGCATGTATATATTTCGCCATTTCCAAACTAATTGGATTTGGAACTGACTCCTGGGTTTATCCCAATATCTCCCATCCTGAACATGGACGGTTGTCCAGAAAATATATTTACAGCCTATATTGGTCCACGCTGACATTGACAACCATTGGAGAAACTCCACCTCCAGTGAAAGATGAAGAGTATCTATTTGTGGTCATGGACTTTTTAGTGGGTGTGCTTATCTTTGCTACCATTGTGGGCAATGTAGGCTCTATGATTTCTAACATGAATGCCTCTAGGACAGAGTTCCAGGCCAAGGTTGATTCCATCAAGCAATACTTGCAATTTCGAAAGGTCACTAAAGATTTGGAAGCAAGAGTGATTAAATGGTTTGATTATCTGTGGACCAATAAGAAAACAGTAGAAGAAACAAAAGTCCTGAGATACCTCCCTGATAAGCTGAAAGCTGAGATTGCCATAAATGTCCATATGGATACACTAAGAAAAGTGCGGATCTTCCAAGATTGTGAAGCTGGACTCCTGATTGAGTTGGTGTTGAAATTAAAACCTACTGTTTTCAGTCCTGGAGACTATATATGCAAAAAAGGTGATATTGGAAGAGAGATGTATATTATTAAAGAAGGAAAACTGGCTGTCGTCGCAGATGATGGAGTGACACAGTTTGTGGTTCTAAGTGATGGCAGTTACTTTGGAGAAATCAGCATCTTAAACATCAAAGGCAGCAAAGCTGGCAATAGGAGAACTGCCAATATCAGAAGCATAGGTTACTCTGATCTGTTCTGTTTGTCCAAGGATGACCTGATGGAAGCTCTCACTGAATATCCTGAGGCCAAAAAGGCACTGGAAGAAAAAGGACGGCAAATTTTGTTGAAAGATAACTTGATTGATGAGGAGGCAGCTAAAGCAGGAGCTGATCCAAAAGACTTGGAAGAGAAAATAGGTAAACTTGAAGCAGCTCTGGATACTCTTCAGACAAGGTTTGCTAGACTTTTAGCAGAGTACACTGCCTCACAGTCTAAACTCAAACAGAGACTTGTAGAAGTTGAGACCAAAGTGAAGAAGTCTGGAAACGACGCTTTGTTAGATGTACCAGACAAAGCTGGAAAATCAGAAGAACAGAAAAAGAATTAAGTATGTATGGTCATCTTCATTTAGCACAGAACTACTGCACCCTATATGAACACACTTGCAAATATGTGAACAGGATTGTTTTATATCATTTGGAACCAGCAAGTTTGTATAGTTTTTAATTGAAGCAATTGTCTTCTAAATAGTAAATGCTGAACTTTTATCACCTTTTTAGAAACAGATTTCCACATTTCTTTTATTTATTTTGTATTGGGGAAAGATTTTCTATGAGTGATGATCACCTCTTATTATTAGGTGTTTGTATAGACTCCATCACATTTATCATTCTAGCTTTACAACAAGCACCTGATGCAAAGAGAAACTTCTCTGAATGGAACAGACTTTATAATACTGATGCATAAATATACCAACATGACTTGCCCATTTTCTTCCTTGAAATAGCAGTTTTTTCCATTAATATAATGCATCCATTTCACATTATGTCTTTTTTGCTTATTAAAAAAACCCCTTAATGTCTAGATGTGGCCTAGAATGTGTGTGTTGGAAAACAGAGAGTGGATTTGTCCAAATGCAGACCCGTGCAACAGCAAAATATCCACATTTCTCTGTTGTATTGCATTAGCAGAAAAATCCCTCCAGCAACCGTTTGTGACTCACATCCTGATGGGTTTCACACTCAACAGTTTCCTGACAAAATCTCTCATGTTTGCTCAGAGTTGGATGCTATTTTGACAAATGTAAAAAAATTAAGACTGGTAATATGAGTTTGCTACCTATAGGCTATGAGGGACTGAGTTCAGGAGGTGATTAATGCCTCTTTGAAGGAGGAAATGGTACCTCCTTGCCCAATCTGATAGAGTATACCTTTCTTGAAAGGACCCACTCTCAATCCTACAATGTTAGATAACTTCTGTCCAATCTCTGATTTTCATTTTTTGGGAACATTCTGGTGAAGGTGGTAGTAGTGCTTCATTGCAAAGATGAAGATGACTATTTTAATCCCTTATGGTCATGGTTCAGTTCTGGGCATGGACAGCAATGACATTATTTGCTCTGTATGGGGACACGAAAAGAACCCCCTTGGGAATCCCCTTGGCAATGGTGATGTCACCAGCTAATCCTTTCAACCAAGAAGTGCTTTGGTAGGTACTTCTGACACAAATGCTCTCATGGATGACCTCTATTGGAATCTGGATGATGGAAGGCAGCTCTTCAATGGTTTCTGATGGCATGAACTATTTTATCCTACTAGATCATATCAAACTCATGATGTCATGTGACGTCGTGCGATGTATTGTGACTTTCCCACCATTGCCGGCAATGGGGTGGGCACGGTTTCAGTGTGATGCATCCGGCCCACGGGCCGGCAGTTTGACATGCCTGTTCTAGACCATCTTGTAGAATTAGGGAATCAGGATTCTATAGAGATTCCACTCCTTCTGGGAGGTACCATTTAATACTACTTGATAAGATTAAAAAATGTGGGTTAGACAGCATCACCATCAGATGGATTCGTAGTTGGCTGACCGGCCGTATTCAACATGTGATCCTCAATGGAACCACATCTACATGGAGGGAAGTATGTAGGGGGTGCCCCAGGGCTCTGTTCTGGGCCCAGTGCTCTTCAACATCTTCATCAACAATTTGGATGAGGGGATAGATGGGGAACTCATCAAATTTGCAGACGACACCAAGCTGGCAGGAATAGCCAACACTCCAGAAGACAGGCTTCAGATACAGAAGGATCTGGACAGACTTGAACACTGGGCACTAACTAACAAAATGAAATTCAATGGTGAAAAAAGCAAGGTTCTACATTTCGGCAAGAAAAACCAAATGCACAAGTACAGCATAGGTGGCACCATGCTCAATAGTAGTAACTGTGAGAGGGACCTCGGAGTCCTAGTAGACAATCACTTAAATATGAGCCAGCAGGGTGCTGCAGCTGCCAAAAAGGCCAACACAGTGCTAGGCTGCATTAACAGAGGGATAGAATCAAGATCACGTGAAGTATTAATACCACTTTACAATGCCTTGGTAAGGCCACACTTGGATTACTGCATCCAGTTTTGGTCACCATGATGTAAAAAAGATATTGAAACACTAGAAAAAGTACAGAGAAGAGCAACAAAGATGATTAGGGGACTGGAGGCTAAAACATATAAGGAACGGTTGCTAGAATTGGGTATGTCTAGTTTAACGAAGAGAAGGACAAGGGGGGACATGACAGCAATATTCCAATATCTCAGGGGCTGCCACAAAGAAGAGGGAGTGAAGCTATTTTCCAAAGCACCTGAAGGCAGGACAAGAAGCAACGGATGGAAACTAATCAAGGAGAGAAGCAACCTAGAACTAAGGAGAAACTTCCTGACAGTTAGAACAATTAACCAGTGAAACAACCTGCCTCCAGAAGAGATGAATGCTCCAACACTGGAAGTTTTTAAGAAGAGACTGGACAGCCATTTGTCCAAAATGGTATAGAACGGGATAAAACAAAGTGAAGCTGAATGCCATTACAATGGAATAATTGTGTGTCCTGCAGTCATATGATAGGTGGTTTTAGAGGGATAGCGCTGTCCCCAGAATAGCAGATCTGCCACTTAGCGGTGTTCTTTAATTCACAACTACACCTAGAGTGTTTTTGTCCAGTCCTGGTCAGTATGCCAATTGTGTAATTTCTTAGATCTGGACCTCTCAAAAATAGTTATCCATATCCTCATTATCACTGATTAAACTAGTACAATGCCCTCATCCTAGAGCTGATCTTGAGGAATATTTAGAAACCCATAACTGATACAGCATGCAGCAAACTGCATGTTGAGTACTGAGAGCTTGTTCAGTAGAATAGCATCTAAATTGTGAATTCTGCACTAGTTTCTAGTAGGCTTTGGAGTGCAATTCAAAGTGTTGACATTACTCTTTAAAGCACCACAGGGCTCATGCCCAAATTTCTTATGACTTGTGCATTCCTTTGGGTTAATGTTGACTCCTGACAACTAGCTGAACAATTCCCTGAGGTTTTCTTGGCAAAGTTTTTCAGAAGTGGTTTTCCATTGCCTCCTTCCCTGGTCCGAGAGTGAGTTATTGGCCTAAGGTCATACAGCTGGATTTGTACTTAAGGCAGGACTAGAGATCACAGTATCCTGGTTTATGCCTGGTGTCTTAACCACTACACTAAGATTGCTCTCTAATTTATGACTGCCTGCTCTCTAATATTCTAGCCAGCCTGTCCATTCTACCTGGGAAAGGTGTTATGGGTCATTTCAACTTGGGAGGCAAAGAAGCCTAGAAACCATGGTTAATTACCCCTACCCTGACCCTCTGGAACTTCTCTCCAGCCAAGTTCTACATGAGACCCAGCCTTGCTATCTTCATGAGAGTGTCATGAGAAGCTTTTTGGACAAATTTCTGGAGATTAGCATCAAGGATATATGTTCCTTATTTATTAATTTATGGTTTATTAATATTTATGGTTTATCTCAATCCTTATAGAGACTGGGTAGGCTACTATTAAATCATAATCAAAACATTAAAACCCTATAAAACAACAATATTCAGATTAGTATTATACATAGGTAAAAATCTAAGGGAAAAACTCGCTTCAGGGTTGGAGCTATCTGTATCTCTGTGGGGAGAGTATTCTGGGGAGAAAATTCTATTGAATGAACCTGCTACCTGATGTAACCTGTACCATAAAGGGCTTTCAAAGCGATGACCAGGCCACTGAACTAGATCTGGAAGCCTATTGGAGGCAGCGCAGTAACTTCAGGATAAGGGTTATTCTTACCTTTTAGGATTGTTCCAGGAGGAATTTTCATCACAGCTTGCATAGCTGTAGCTTCTAGATAATCTGGCTCAAACTTGAACTTTTTCCAGTGCTCAATGGTGCCCACCTTTGACTTTTCACTATCTTTGCCCTAACCACATGGCATCAGTGAATGGACAAAGGACTTGCCAGAGTGATCTCATCCAGTGCTCTGGCTGCTCCCATCTTTCACAGTCAAGCAGGCCAAAGATGGAGCTGCTACTATGTTGTAGGGATATTTTCCCAGTGACTTTGGGAAATCTTCTGAATTTAGTAGGTGCCTGGGACACTGTGATCCAGTCTGGCAAGGAAATGATCTTGAAAGACAGATATTAAAATTCTTCATTTTCATACTAAGTCTCATCTGTGCTTAAATAAAGACCAAATCAAGCAAGGGCCCACCAAAACGTACCAGACTATGATTTCTTGAGAGAAGCCAATTGAGCAGTGGTGAACAGCTATGGAAGTGTTTTTGCTGATTTTTGGGGGGGAATATTTATTCTGCTCCCCTTCACCCGATATCAGGCTCAAAGGCACTGGAGCTGCTACACTGATTTTATTGCTTTGGGGAGGGGTCCTTCTATGTGCTTTGCACAATCCTAAGATTATTGAGGACAGTTGGAACTGTGGGCTCTTCAGAGCAGCATCTCTAATTTGTTCTGACCTTCAATCCCCAAATTTCCAGCCAACAAAGCCATGGATTATGTTGGCTGGGAGTTGATTTCTGGCATGTTTGGAAGTTACCAGTGGCCGGAGCTTTGGCTTTAATTGATATTGCTTGGTGATCCTGGTGTTCAAACTAAAATTAATACAATTCTTGCAGTTAAATAATACAAAATAAAATAGCAGTCAGAAGTTAAGATGACCTAAGATGGTTTAAAAAGGAAGAAAGAGAGTGAGCAATCATAGCTCACTATTTAGAAGAGATCAATCAGTTTACCCTATCACCAAGAATTCTGTTTCTGACCAAAGGTAGAAACTGCAACTCACCTCATTCAGGATTTTTTTCCTTGTTTGAAAAATATTGGCAAAGGTTCTTTTGAAATTGGCTATATTTCAAGAAAACCAGTTTCTGTACTGACTAAAAAAATGGAGGTACAAAATCAGAATATCTGTCTGATTCTTACTTCTGACCCAAACTCAGAAGCTTGGTTTACTAAACCTCTGTTATTCTCAACCAGTCTCAATCCATTCCCTACTTGCAATATAGGGAATGTTTACTATTTTATTTATTTAATTTATATATATCCTCCCTTCTGGCAACTCCAGGTAGCTAATACTACTTTATTAACTTAGTGGATTTTTGTAAAAGTGCAAGTCAATAATTGAGGATATGAATCTAGCACTTTAAGTATGTATTAAAAACTATTGTCTAAACCATGTGAAAATATATATCCATAAACAGTATGCTTTTTGAAAACAAAGTGTTTTTAATGGTCTATTATAATGCGTGTGTTAAAAAGTATGTTGTTTTTAATATGTATTTTTCCTCTATATGCATACTATCATTTAAACAAAAGTGACATAGGAAATCTATGGATGTTTACTATTGGCTGTTTACAACTGATGTTTTTACACTGGTAGAAAAATAAAGCATAGGGTTTGATTATATTTTCCATATACTTACAGAAGGTTGAAAGACACTGCATATGTCTCATTGAAGTGAACTGGAATTGCTTTAATAAACAATAATACCTTGCTGAATCAGTTCCCTGGTCCACCTACTCCAGAGGTCTGTTCTCAGAGTGAACCAATTACACAAGGAGGCCACTAGTGTCCCAGCAGATGGTCTTCAGAGGCAGCTACACTGTCACCCAGAACAATAGTTTAACACTGGCTAGATCGTGTTAGCCACCACTTTATTCAACATTCTGAAATTTTCCTTTCCCTTAAAACCTGCACAGAAAATAGTTTTCATATGCAAGGAAAGATAAAAACTCTTTCATATCAAATCTGATTCCTGACTTCATAAACATGATCAAATAGGTTTTTTTTTTAGTAACAGAGACATCTGCAGGATGTGTGTGTGTGGCGGGAGGGGTAGTAAAAAAATCAAGATGGTAGCTACAATCATGTGACCAAGACTGAATTCTTATTATTGCCTTCTCCCCCTCCTCCTGAGATTCTGATGGAAGAGTTTGATTTTGCCTTCTTTCGAGATTAATAATAATAATAGTAGTAGTAGAGTGGGAAGGGACCTTTGAAGTCTTTTAGTCCAAACCTCTGCACAGGTAGGAAACCCTATATCATTTCAGACAAATGGTTGTCCAGCTCTTCTTATCAATTGTTGGAGTATTCACAACTTCTGGAGGCAGGTTGTTCCACTGATTAATTGTTCTGTCAGGGAATTTCTCCTTAGTTCTATATTGCTTCTCTCTTTGATTAATTTCCTTCCATTATTTGTCCTGCCTTTAGGTGCTTTGGAGAATAGCTTGACTCTGTCTTTTTTGTGGCAACCCCTGAGATATTGGAACACTGCTATCATGTCACCCCTATTTCTCTTTCTCTTCATTAAACTTTGTTGTTAGTTACGAAGTCGTGTCCGACCCATTGTGACCCCATGGACAACATTCCTCCAGGCCTTCCGGTCCTCTATCATCTTCTGGAGTCCATTTAAGTTCATGCCTAGTGCTTCAGTGACTCCATCCAGCCACCACATTTTCTGTCGTCCCCTTCTTCTATTGCCCTCAATCTTTCCCAGCATTAGGCTCTTCTCCAGTGAGTCCTTCC